TAGAGGTCCCAAAAACAAATTTATTATTGAGGATCAGGTGCCTTCCTTGAAAATTTGTTTAGGAGCAATGTTTTATAAAGGGTTTAATTGGGGAACTGGTGGTTTTGGTCAGCTGTCAGTTTTGAAGAAACCTAGAGAAAGCTATATCAGCCAATGAATCATAATCATTGGCCTCAGAAGGAATTCAAACCCTTATTAATTGGGTTTCCAATTTGAGAATTTAGGGTCCCCCCAAAAATTAGCATTATAGAGGTACCATGTTTCAAACAGGGGGGTCTGAATAAATTTTGAAAAAATTAGCATTATAGAGGTACCATTTACTAATCAGGATCCAACATTAACAGTCACTGAACAAGAACATACTGTATCACTGTATCACCATGTTGGAACCAAGTCCGCAACTGAACCATCATCCACTAAGGCCCTGGGTCTTAGGATGGACCCAATCTTAGGATCATTCCTCGCTTTCGTCACCCCCCCTGTGAGGCCCTGGCCTTCTCAGAGTCTCGATTGCAGATGACTCGAACCCTCTCCAGTTCCACCACTTGCACGGCCATAACATGCCATCTAAAAGGTTTGGTTTCTAAATGCGTCTAGTCTGGTCTAGTCTAGTCTATTCAGGGTGGTATATATGCCATAGCTATTGGTTTCTAAATGTGTCAAGTTCATATACAGGTGCCTGGATGTGGCCCGACTAGGGTGTCTTGAAGCTAAATTCGTTGGAGTCAGAACTAACTTAAACTTGCACGTATGAGGGCATATGAGGGCCGACCAGCTGCTTAAGGTTTCAGACCTTCCAATGTCCTAAACAAGGTGTTGCTCGGCCACTCCGTGGGCACAGTTGCATGCGATTTGCCATGGCTCACGCTGGAGACCAACGCCCCCTGATGCGGGAGAGCCGACCCCGGCAATCCCTGCAGATGGTCACAGATCGATCGATCGACATGAAATCCGACGAATTTGCACCTGCTCAATCGTCGTGGAAGCCATAGTCATTGAGGCTTTGACCGCAATTTTACGGTTTGGACAGAACTCCATGGCCTCGGCGACAGGGCAACAATCCCGGATGCAGCTGGCCCAAGCTTTTCTGCCCAAGGAGATCCCCATCGTCGTCATTTCATGTGATAGTTCATCAAACTACATCAGTGCCAATTGAAGAACACCTTCCATGTCTCACATGGTCTCACGGCCGAACCCTTTGATCCCTCTTTTTCGACCAAACTCCCCAAGGATCTCAGTTGGTTGCCGACCACGGCGATGTCTGCTTGGTGGCCGGGATTGGCAGAAAGCTGTTCGAAGGTGGTCGGGTGGTGGTTGCACGCCGTGGAGTTGTCCACGGCGCAGAACGGAGCTGGCTGGGAATTGCTGGGATGGTTGGAATGCCTTTAACTTGTACGGGGCGGGTTTTGGTAAAGAGGAGGGAGTGTCTTGAACGCCTTTGACATTAAGTTGTGTGTATAAGATATGTTGCAACTTACAGTGATTATGTAGATTGGAGCGGTTGATGACTTGATCAGGCAAACAATAAGATGTTATACATCAAAGAGAGCCTGGATCGATATGAGTTGGTTGGTTGTTTTACTGTACTCCTTTCACCTTGGCTCCCAACAGTGACTAGCAGATTTGAGGGTCTAAGTGGACAAGCTAAACTATGACGATCCGGTAACGGAGACAGACATGGAATGGCCACCACATTAAACACAGGCTATCACTGCCCTTCAATCATTCATTCTCATCCAACACGGTGTCCCATTACTTCGTTCAGTGCCTGCGTTGCTAGCTGCTAAGCTGCTAGTCGCACCCTTCCAAGGCCCTACCACTGGTGCATCATCAAGGCCGTTTGCGCCGGCATCACCGACGCCTTCCACGGGCTCTTCGTGGAGGCTCGGGTAGATGACAGAGTGGGTGGGCCACCTCACCCGATCAATTCCAATGACTTCTACGCAGGAGTGTAGTGAAATGATGTGAAATGTGTTTGTTGCATGTAACGTTACATGTGTGAGATTTCACGCTTTTGATGTTCGCATGGCTGACATGTGTTGT